AAAAATAGCTGGGAATTGTGACAGATACCTGTAGTCCCAGCTACTCAGGAGGCTGAGGCAAGAGAATCCTTGAACCCAAGAGTTTGAGGTTGCTGTGAGTGGTGACACCATGGCACTCAACTAAGGGTGACAAAGTGAGACTCTTGTCTCAAAAAAAGAAAAAAAACTCTGTACTTACTAGAAACATAGAAGCAGATCACATGTGATCACCTGAAAGGAGCAAAGTGTAAAGTGTTGGAAGGGCGAGCTCAGTATGTCATATTTATTATGTGCACACTACTGTCTGTATATGCACATAGTCTCTAAAATGATACACAAGAAACCATAAGGCTGTAGTTTCTATAACGCTTACATATATTTTGTACATTCAACAAATGTAATTGTCCATCATTGTGATGGGAGAACCTTGTCAGGACCTTAGGCCGTATCAAGAGAGAAAGAAAGTGCATCCTGGCCCCCTCCACCTTGGTCATGCCACGGTGTCTGGGGTTCCTCGTTAGCTCTGCAGAGCATAGCAGAGCTCACCAAAGCTCACCTGCCACACACAGGTGGCCCTTTGACCTGTGCTCCAGAGCCAGCAGAAACTGACAGCTCCGAGGTTGGGGAAGGAGGCAGGGCCCCAGCCTTGGCTGTGTGGGACTCTGGAGGGACCAAAATCCAGTGTCCCTCTCTAGAGGAGCAGCCAGAGGATGGCAGCAGCTCTACAGCAGGCAGTAGGGGAATGGGTCAAACCAATCTGGCAGGAGGACTAATAGGTCACATTTCACCCATTGGCAAATGTGGTGTGCTGTGGTGAGGTTCTGCCACTTTTAAGGATTTTTGTCTAATTTTTAGACCTAGGAAGAGAATAGGATATTTTTCCTACATAAAAATCCTTTTAATTTCTAATTTACTTTCAACCAGATATTCCTATTCTGTGCTATATATAATAATAAAAAGTTAGCTACAACCTACATATCCAACTGTGGAGGATTATTGAAATCAGTCACAGTCTGTCCTCCAGATGGCACAACAGGAATGCTGTGCCCATGAAAAAATGGCCATGATTAAGATTGGTTTTCTGTATTGTAGAATTACATTTCTTAAAATGGGGGGGGAGGGGAAATTGCTTTTCTTTTGTTTTATCTTGATTTTTTTTTTTTTGAGACAGAGTCTCACTATGTCGCCCTCAGTAAGTGCTGTGGTGTCGCAGCTCACAGCAACCTCCAACTCTTGGGCTTAAGGGATTCTCTTGCCTCAGCCTCCCAAGTAACTGGGAATACAGATGTCCACCATGACACCCATCTATTTTTTTGTTGCAGTTGTTTAGCTGGCCTGGGCTGGGTTCGAACCCACCACCCTCAGTGTATGTGGCTGGCACCATAACCACTGTGCTATAGGCATCAAACCTATTTTGTTTTGATTTTTTGAGACAGAGTCCCACTATGTTGCCCTGGGTAGAGTGCCATGGTGTCATAACTCACAGCAACCTCAAACTCCTGGGCTCAACCAATCCTCCCATCTCAGACTCCCGAGCCACTGGGACTATAGGCACCCACCACAGTGCCCAGCTAATTTTTCTGTTTTTAGTAGAGATGGGGTCTCACTTCACTCAGGCTGGTCTTAAAATGTTTTTACTAACTCTGAATCTACTTAAACTTTATTTATAACATATACAGAGGGTACCCAAAAAATGTATACACAATTTAAGAAAGGAAAAAACTAAATTAAAATTGTAATGCTCAATGTATACCGATAATAAAAGATGAATACAAGTCACCTTGAGCTCAACTTGTAATTGTAGAAGTCACATGTGACTTGAGTATTAGAAATTTCATACAGTTTTTCCCTTGCTTAAAATGTGTATACATATATCTGTATGTAAGCTGCCCACCACAGCACAGAAACAAACACACCGGTACACCTACCACCCAGCCTAACACCTGAACCTCCCACCCTGCATGCTTCTTCCTAACTCTGCCTCTCTCCTTCCCACCATAACCACTCTCCTGCTTTGTTTGTTTACCATTCCTTTATCATTTTAGAACATGTGTTTGATTCCCTCTTGTCTTGTCTAAGGTGCTTTCTTAAAAAAATTCTATGTAAATAGAACCATAACCATGCACTTTGTTCTGTGTCTTGCTTTCAACCTGTTCCTAGGATTCATCTCTGTCAATACATGTAACAGTCATTCATTTATTTGTATGGATTGTGTGTTTATTGGTTCTTCTGTTGATCACCCCAGGAATGATTTTCTGCTGTTTGTGACAGTGAACAGTGCTGCTGTGCCCATTCTTATAATGGTCTCCTGGCACACTGAGACGCATTTTTTCCTGTTTCATCATTTTGACCATGATAGGTTTATTTTGATGAAATTACTGCTAATCAAATCTCCTAGGACCCTACGCAGTGCTAGAGAAGGTGACGCTGGGGACTAGAACCTTGTCTTTGGGGCACAGCTATGGGAAGGTTGGGAGGGTTCTTGATACCCCCAAACTTACTATTTCTCCTGTGTTTCCACTTGCCAATTCCTCCCATCCCCTAAAGACACACACCTCCCTTGCTGGTCCCCTCCAGAGACATAGGACCCCTTCCTGCCGCACTGGTCTCCCCACCCCAAGGACAGATTCGTTTTGACTGGAGGACAGTGATTCAGAGTGCAGGCTCTGGGGTCTTGGACCCACCACTTACTTACTGTGTATTTAGCCTCTCTAAGCCTCAGTTTCCTCATCTTTATATTGGGGATGATTCTAGTACCTGCCCAGTAGGGTTGAAGTGATGACTCATGAAGTACGCAGAGCAGTGCCCTGCTGAACAAGGAAGGAGTGGCTGTGGTTACAGCTGTGCCCTCTCCCCACCTGACCTGTTCATTCATAGACTCATTGGGAAAGGCCTGTCCCTTCCCTTAAGAGACCCTCCCCCACCCAGCCCCTCTCCAAGAGGTCGGAACTTTGACAAGAGGCTGAGCTTTCTCTTCTAGGTACCTGCAAACCTTATGTCATTTGAGTAAGTCTCTGCAGGACGTGGCATGACTTCAGAGGCTTCTGGGAGCCCAGGCTGGGCCTGGTGGAGAAGAGCAGTCCTGGGCACAGGCTGTGGGCCGGGGTGCTGGGAGACTCACAGCCAGACTCAGGCGACATGGCCTATGGCCTTGCAGTCCCAGAGTGGGATCCACCTGTCAGTCCCCAGTGACTCTCATGGCACTCATTCTGCAACATCACCTCTTGGGGCAGTGGCCGGACCCCAACTGTATACCCTGCCCTCCCTCTCTGGGCCCCCATCTGTCCACCAGCTGCTTCTGCGACTCGAAAGCATTCAGCCCACGTTGGGTGCCCAGTGCTTTCTGCTGTATCAAGAGCGGGCAGTGCCAACCTTGAGAGGGGCCCGAGCAGAGGAGCAGGCTATGGAACAGGCTTTTTATACCCCAAGTGGATGGGGTTGCTCGCCCACAGGGCTGCCTCAGATTTTGTACAACCCCTGAAGCATCCTCTGCGTGTGCGTGCCGTACACATGTGCGTGCAAGCGAGTGTGAACTCTTTGAGAAACATGCATTTTGGCACAAGACTTATGACATCACATACGTCATTTGCTTTGAGGCCCTGCTTTGACCTTAGGTTACCACCTTATCCACCGAGGAAGGTGAGAGCAAGAGCCCAGATCCCTCCCGTATTAAGGGTCCCTTGCATTCTTTTACTGTAAACGAACAATGCCTTAAATTGTGTCTTGTTTTCTGTTCCTACGGGTGCTATTCATCTGGAAGGCCTGTTTGCTGGGCCCCCTGGGCCCTTCCAGGCCTTGTTGCTGTCAGCTCTTCTAAAATAGGACTCGGCCTCGGCCTCGCTGCTGCCCTGCTTGCTTCCTCCCATTCCCTCTACTGGTAGGGCCTGAGGCCTTGCTCTTCTCCCTCCCTCCCACCATGCCAGAGTGGGCAGTTGTCACATTTCCTCCCAGCTTCCCTCAGAAGCAGCATCAGTGGCCACTGTTCTCCCAGCGATAGGCTGTGCAGAAGCCACTTGGCATCACCCTCCCCACGCAGGGCAAGGCCTTTGCTCCCATCATCTCACTCCTTTGCCTCCACTGCCAGGGCAGCACCCACTGAGGTTCCTGATCACGACAGGGAGCTGAGTGACACTGAGGCCTTAAGCTCCCCCAGTCTTGCCCCCAAAGCAGTCACCAGCAAGTTCTTCATCATCCAAGTCCAAGGGCACAATTGTTGATGACCGTGTGACAAGAGAGCAAAGCCTTGGGGAGTGAAGGGTCCAACCTCTGCATTCAGTTAGGAGCTCTTCACACAAGAACATCCTTTATCTTTCACCTTTTGTCACATCTTAAAGTGACTTTTATTTTGCACAAGTACATTTTCTTCCAAAATAATTATTTTTTATCATAATCCCTCACCCCTGATCCCTCTATAATGTGGGTATGCTAATCTGAGGAGAATATCCATAAACAGTTTTCTGAAAGAGACTGGATTCTAGGTCCTTGTTGCTAATGATTTCAGAGTTCACACTAATCAGGTACCAGAAAGGCCTGAAGGGTTTCTGGGCTAGATGCTCCAAAACAGCATCTAAGCCATTAAACTGTAATAGGTCAGGTTTAAAATGACCAAAGACCACCACTCTGTACTTGGATGAAATAGTAACAACTTCTCTGAAAATCTGAATGAAATGATGAGGAAAGTACTTCCTGAATGGGAAGTCACCAGGGTCTTGTTTTGTGGTTGAGCTTTACTGTGCTCAGTGACTAATCTTCCTTTTGAGCAAAGACTAGATTACTTTCATGTCAAGAGAAACTCCAGATGATAAAGATGACAGCGTCAAACCTCGACAGTAGATGCCCTGCGTGCCCACCCCGGCTGTGTGCACCTAATTCTACCAGTGACCATTTAAGTCAGCGTCCCGAGGCTGAATGACGACGCCAAACAGAACAAACACCTCTGACTGGAACCATGCAGTATTAACACTTAAAGCTACACTGAATCTAATTCTGCCTGCTAACTTTTAAAAAAACAACAACAACAACTTACATTTAGATAAAAGCGAAAGACTGGAACATCAGCTACTTAACTTTCCTCGGGTTTCTTCCCTCTTCAAAATGTCCTGGTTTTTCATACGTGAAATATTCTAGAGGCCAATCCAGAACCCCAGAATTTCAGGCACCACTAAATCAATAATTTCCTGCCCTTTACACAGTGTTCTTATCATTCACAAATGTTTTCTTCTGAGCCTAATTTGAAATAGCACAATCACAATTCTTTTCAAAGTGTTTAGCCGTCTCACTCATTGAATCTGATCCCAGGAGCATTCTTAGCTTGGACTCTGGAAGAACCTCTTTAGACTTTGTTGGCACAAGCCTGGTAAGAGCCCTGAACACACTAGAAGAATCTGGAGATGATGCTGGAAGATACTCCATTCTCTAAGCCAGGGCTTGGAGACAAGCGTGGGAGTTAAGCACTGTATTCTCAGTGTTGGTTTGTCCCTCAGGCTGTAGGTGAGGTGGCCTGGGACACAGGGAACCAGACAAAAACCAAAAGCCCACGGCTGGATCCTTGCCCTGGAGGGGAGCATACCTGTCCTTTGCTCCTTTACTGTCCCTAATGCACAAATGTTTGTGACGCCATTGAAGGTATTATGTCCTGCATGCATATGCTATTTTTTTTATGCCAACAGATCATGGACCCCCATGTAAAAGTGTGGAAAGTTGTCTACATACGTGGAGTAGGTGGGTAACATGATGTTCCAAAAGCAACTTGCTCACCTCTTCCTAGGAACAATTTTTGCCCCCTCAGTTGAGCATGATTTATAACTCAAAGCCAATCAAGTGCATTCCAGCAACTGAAATACTTCGTGGAGAGCAGCAGAAATATAGACTGATTGTGCCCAGTGGAAGAGTGGGCCCCTTCCCTCCCCTGACTAGAAGTCCACTCAGCACCCTGTCAGACCGTGAACCTGAGGAAATCAATACGTTAAGAGATTCTGTTTAGGAAAGAACCCACTCTCTCTTGCCTACTGAATTTATAAAACATTTTTTTCCTTACCAAGATGGCCAGTATTTCTTTCATCATCTTTCCCCACCTCTCAAGCCCAAGAGATATTCTTTTAGAATGCCATTTTACAGAGGGAAATGGTGTGGAAATGGGAAACCATTTGCAAGCGATATCTGCTTTATTCTTTGGTTGTGACTCAGCGCTCTTCACCCACATTGCTGATGCTTGGAACTACCAGGAGAACATTGCCAAAAACATAGCCCTCTTTTTTGCAAACCTGTAAATGACTTAAATCAACTGTACGTCATATTGACCTGTGGCGTAATTTCATAATTACAAAAGAAAAATAACCTACAAAAGTCTTTAATATAACAGATTCTCTGAACAAAGCCACCATTCACCCATTTATTAATTGCCAGCAAGTGCTTCCTACTGTGCCAGGCTCCACTCAGCCCTGGTGGAGCTGAGGACGAAACAAACAATCCCCAGCACACAGGTCTTGGGTAAGACCCCGCCTCCCTCCTAACCTGAGTACAAATCCTGTGCACGGATTCCTCCAGAAAGGTTTCAGAAGTCTCTGCAGACTGAACAGTCTTGGATCAGTTGCAGCAGGGACTGGCTGGAGTCGCTGTTGTACAGGTTGGTTGGCTCAGAAGAACCAGGCACTGGGTGGCGCCTGTGGCTCAAAGGAGTAGGGTGTGGGCCCTATATGCCAGAGGTAGCAGGTTCAAACCCAGCCCCGGCCAAAAAAAAAAGAACCAGGCACAGAGCCATGGGTGGGTACACTGAGGACTCCAAAGGTGGAATGAGAGGGTTGGGTCAGAATCTTCATGGTGTAAGTGCAATGAGTGAGCGCTGCCTTTTCTTGGGTGTAGAGAACTTGTACCATGGACTTAGACCATTTTGTAGCCTTGTGCTACACAGGCTTGCATACCCCAGGCAGCCTCCAAACGCCTGCTCACAGCAGCAACACAGTAGATCATCTGTTTGTTTTATAACCATTAGTCTCTTTATCCATTTCTGAATGACTGTGACCAGTAATGAAATAATAGTAATTAATTTATTAGTATGGTATAATCTTTAATACATTTCGTGCCAAAATGCATGGTGTCAAAATGTTGTATAGAGATGAGTTTTCAATTTCTTATGTATTCTTCAAAGTATGTTGAAAATCAGTTTCTACATTTTAATTCATTCCTTGTTCAATCTGTTGCACACTCCTGGGCTGTCTTTTTTTCCAGCAGACCTCTGCATGCAGTTGTGTAAGGACTTTCTCTAATTCCTGTGAATTGTCTCACCCTCGGTAACCACTGAACATCAGCCCTTTGTGGGATTCTTTAGATTTTTGGTGAAGTATTTTGTTACCTCAGTCTTGTATCAAGTTGCTATATTTTTCAGCTTGTTACATTGATAATAATTGTTTCACTAATTAAATACTTTAATGTACAAACATCTTTGTTTACTTTGAAATTAAATGTGTTTTCCAATGAATATTGCTCATTGCTCAGTTTATTGAAGTCTCATACATTCATTTGGCAAACAGCTGCTGTGTTGGACACAAACAAGGAGGCGTGGACCCCAGAGCTCAGCTAGGAAGTAACTAGAACGAAACACCTAGAGCAGTGCCCTCAGGAAGGCACAGAGATGGCCTCCTTCCTCAGGGAGGGAGGAGTGGGGGCATTTAAGGATTGCAGAACACCTGGATGGCCAGGGTAGGGGTCAGGGAGACAGAAAAGAGAAGGAGCAGGATGAGGCTGGGGGAAGGCAAGTGACCAGATCTCACTCCTGAAGGATTTGCAGGAGTAATGGAATCTAAATCTGAAAGAGACACTGGGAGGACGTCATGTTAGGCAAAATACCAGAAATGCACTCTAGCTTGCTTGGAGGAAAAAGGACCATCTTACAAGACTTGTCTCAGAGAAATTTGAAGGGAGGACCATGGGGATCGGTCCCAAGAGGCCTGGAAGAAGACCTAGGAAGCGGTCTCGTCTTTCTCTAGTGAGGCTCTCAATCTCCTTTCCAGGCAGTCCCTCCTTTCTCTCTCCAGACTGGCTTCCCTGCTTGAATGTGCGGCAGCAAAGGGGTCCAGGCCTTGCTGAGAAAGCAGTTGGTAGTCATTTAGGGAGTGTGCGCCAGGGGCACACGACCAAATGGATGGTAGGATTTCCTGGTCCTGCTGCCTCGTTGCCCAGCTGGTCCCAGAGCTGCAGTGGCTGGTCCCCACCCCATCCCCACCCCCGGCCCCTGCACAGGCTTCCGCAGCACACTGCTCTGCTCAGGCTCTGCTCCACTACCACAGTTCCAGGCTAGCAAGGCCACCTCCCCATCGGGCTGACAAAGTCCCACTACTGGGATAGCCACAGTGCAGTATTCTAGGTCTCTTGAGAAGAACACATCTGGCTTGGAGACGAAGTGAAAATGGTGAGGATAGTGGATAGTGGTTGTCACACAGGTGGAAGGTGACAGTACTTGAACCCACAACTGGTAACCTGCAAAGCTCCTGTCCCTCAGCCATAATATGTCTGGTGCCATAAACGGCCACCAGGAAAGAGCAGTACATCCCTGACGGTGTTGAAGTCCCCAAGTCAACGCAGACCTCACAACAGAAGAGTGTTCAGTGTTTAGCCCCAAGGGCAGCGCCCTCCCCGCGGGTGGGCTTGAAGGAGGGCGGGGCGGGACGCTGGCGGCGTGGGCGGGGCTACAGCGTGTGG